GTACTTGAGTAAACGTTAGAGAGTATCCTATCTTCACCGGATGGGGTCGAAACACCAGCCTTGATAATCTTAGGAGACACTAACCATGCGGCATTAGCTTTTAAGTAACTTCGAGAGCCCCTCTCCCAAATATCTGTTTCGACACGTGGCAACTATTTTGTGGACGTCTTCATGCAAAACCTCTCTACGCCCTTGAAAACTAGGCAAACGAACGCGAAAGACGAGCTACATATGGCGATACGAGAGCCTCACCTCCACAACACGCAAGGTGCTCTCGCACCCCAAGCGCCTCCACACCAAAGTCATTATTCAATTTTGCACCAACCACCGAAACTCAACCATGATGACCACTTTAAAGACCTCGTCCGCAACTTTACTTCTCGTCGCCACGGCTTTTATCGGCATCTCTGGAGCTGCAAACCTGCGTCAGATGCAGCGAAACTTGGGAGCTACGTACTCGCAGTCGAGTGACTTCCACGCTGAAATGCTTGCACGCGTTAATAAGGAACGTGCAGCTGAAGGTCTCCCACCCGTCTGCGGTAACAAGAAGCTGCTGTCGTCCTCCCAGCGTCACAGCGACGATATGGCCCAGAACAACTACATGGCTCACGACGGAACGGATGGCTCCACAATGTCCCAACGTATCACCGATGCGGGATACAAGTGGAGCGCCGTCGGTGAGAACGTTGCTGCCGGGCAGGAAGATGTCCAGGCCGTCATGGACGCATGGATGCACTCACCTGAGCACCGTGAGAACATCATGGGCGAGTACACGATGCTTGGTGTTTCGTACGCCTACAACGACAACAGCGAGTACCGTCACTACTGGACCCAGGACTTCGGCAAAGGAGACACCGAATCCTGCGATTCAGACTCGGAAAACCAGGAGCAGGGCCTCAGACAAGAGCAAGAGCAAAACCCCGACCAGCAGCAGGTTGCCCAGAATGAGGACAATGTTCAGGGGGAGGCGGACAACGGCACACCGGTTCCCAAGACTTCCGTTTACGTGACCGAGGCTCCAAAAGAGGAATCTCCTTGCCCTGAGGAGCAGCCTGGTAAGGTCCAAGGTGCGACCGGCACGAAGACTGATGTACCCGTGCAGGACACTATTAATACTCCAGCGCCGGAGCGGACTGCTGAGGAACCGGAGACTCCCGGTAAGGTCTACGCGGCGAACGACTGTGATTCGAAGTTCTAAGAAGAGTAGATTCTAGTGTACGAAATAGATGTGAACACTTTTTTTGCGGAACGTATCTCGTTATGCCATTTTACGATGGTTGGCGTCTAAACATTTACGTAAAGAGTGCAAGCTATTAGCTTACATCAGTCGAGAGGCGTCGCAGGATTCGACGTCGCTAGTGGCAAACTCCTGCGCCCAGTAGTGCGTGTACATTCCGTCCGGGTTGAAGGTGTAGCCTGCACCAAAGTGAGTGTAGTCGCCCAGGATGTTCATGCGGTGGCCGGTCGAGTTCATCCACGTGCCCACGACTGCGTCGGCATCCGCTTGACCACCCGCGACGTTTTCAGCGATCGATTTCCACTTGTAACCAGCTTCCGAGATGCGGCTTGGAACCGTGGATCCGTCCGATCCGACGTGGTGGAGGAAGTCGTTCGCTGCCATATCTTCCGACTGTCGTTGAGCGGCCTTCTGCAGCTTGGAACTTGAGCAAAGTGATGACAATCCGTTTGCGGCACGTTCCTTGTTGACGCGGCCCAACAGCGCACTGTAGACATCCGTTACTAGCGAGGATTTTTGCAGAGCTGGCGGGACATTCCGAAGTCTGACGTTGCCAGGCTTAAAAGAAGAGGTGGCGATAGCAACCACGACGATGACGAAGGCAAGCGACGATTGGGCAGCACTCAGCATTTGCAGCAACACGGGATGCGCGTACGTCGGACTCGGTGAAATGAAGAATGTGTAGCTTCAGGCACTGCGGGCGCTAGGGAACAACACGAACTGGGTGGGGCACACACGGTCGTACGCTAACGACCATTTGAAACGACGCTTTTCATTACGAAATGGGATCAAAAGCCGTTCAAAGGGCGTTTTCGACGTACTGAAGCGGTTATTAATACGCCTGTCGATCGCGTTCTGAGCTCTCAATATCTGCGCTCTACGTTTTCAATCTTTAAAATTCTGATGAAACCTTTAGATACCATCGTTAGGTTTTGCCCTTACCTGGCAAGTAATCGAAATCTTTCCCGTTGCAACCGTCCATTGTTTGGGGTCGTGGCGAGGATGAGCTGGAGGGAACGAGCAGGGATTCTGAAAGGGACGTTGGTGGGGTTATTGCCGCACGCGACGCTTCCACAGGCGTCGTCTCGCTCCACTGAAGTTCAGTGGCCAGCGATCAGATCGTTTCAGTACTCCATGAACCATGGGTTTGGTGATACCCTTCCTTTGTTTCTCGCTGGCGCGCCATTTCATCGCAACTTTAACATGGAGGAGCAAAAACATGTTTCTTGGCTAAGTGCTATTGGTTATTGGCGAACGGTGCAGGACGCGAAATAAGTACCCATGGGTTACCAATTGAAAGCAGTTCGCTGGAATTCATCCTACAACTAGCCATATATTTTCAGGCTTGTTGACGCTGCAACGCAGCTATCTTGGAAGTTAGCGCTGCACTCCAGCCCACTTATCCATGATGTACTCGCCAAAGCACCCGTCAATTTTGCGCACCGTTCCGTCGAGCAAGTTATTGAAGTTGTTGAACGGCTTGCTATCTCTCGCACTTCTCGCATCACCTCCGATCCGCAGCTCGTTCACGTCGTCGACTGACGGGATAACAGCATCAAAGTCGGGGTAGTAGAAGAACACAAGCGAGTAGCGTTCGCGCTTGTCAGCCACGACTCGATGCACAGGTGATAGGCATTTCCCACCGGTCACGAGTGACAGGTAGTCTCCAGCATTGGCTACAAGCGTACCGGGGATGTAGGGCACGTCCACCCACTTCTCGTCATGGAAGACTTGTAAGCCACCGACAGGGTCTTGCATAATGAGCGTAAGATATCCCCAGTCCGTGTGTGGACTCGAGCCGATAAACTCGTGGAAATTCGCTGGTAGAGCGCCCTTCCCTCCAGTCAAGCCTGCGTACCGTTCGTACGGGAAATAGTGGAACATGCGCATGAGGGAGATGGTCTCGCCTTGACGGCAATAGTTGTCCAAGAAATCTGCAGACCCGTACAGACTTTGCGACAGATTCCGTGCCACGGCACGCGACGCCGCCGTCATCTTCTTGAAGAACTCGTTGAGTACTTCACGGTTGCTGACGGGCCAGTCGTCGGCTTTGGGCCAGACATTGGGACCCTGCAGTCCGTTAGCGAACGCCTCCTTCTTGCTCTCGGGCCACTCGTAGCCGTACGAGAAAGCTTCCTTGACCTCCACACGCTCGGTACTGCCGCTCTCCTTGCCCACGCCAATGTATCCGCGCGTAAATCCCTTGCCGTTCTGTACCACTGGGATCGCAGCTTTGGTCTCGTCGGGTAGAGCGCAGAACGACTCGGCGCTTTGCATCATCTGCTGGGACAGCACGTCGGAGATGCCGTGACCCATGAGGTAGCAGCAGCCGAAGCGCGCAAAGGCGTCGGCCAGCTTCTGACCTTGTTGCGGATCGTCCAACGAGATGATGGGGATGTCAGAGCTCATAACGACCAAGAGATGTGAGCCTCACGTGACCGAACGTTGAATGATCAGTAGGCCCAGGGGTTCCGAAAATGCTATTTATATTTTGCTGGAGGATTCAGCAATACAAATAATTTTACCTATCTCTCCCCTGCAATAATTGAACATATTGCAAGAAATATATAGGAGTTTGTTTGGAGAATAAGTATTGGGAGATTATTGCGCTCCCCGAACGACCTTGCGCACAGTGGCTGCGCTCCAGTACGTGCGGCTCACCTTTAAAAAGAGGATACTCTCGAGATGCAGTGGAGTCATGGCTTGGCGGTGCATGCCAACCACTGCCTTCGCCTGACTAAAGAATCTCTCCACGATGTTGGAAGTCGGAGCGATCATAGACACTTGATCGCTAAAGCGTGAAGTAGTTTGACGAAGTCGTCTCGCCTGCTCGAGCGCAATTGCGGCAAAATCTTTACCTAGCGCTGTTGTCTCCGACGAACTCGATGGAGGAGCGTCTTCCGGGGCTAGCGGCTCAAGCATAGTCTTCTCATCGTCAGACAGCGATCCCTCACGACCCAGCAGGACATTAACACAAGCTCGCTCGAAGACAGGACTCTTGACGATCTCTGCGTCGGCTTGAAGGTACTTGGCGACTTCGGGTTTCTGAGCAATGAGCGCGTCAAAGAGGTCGCGCACGTCGAGTAGCGTTATGTCGTCCGCACTTTGCAGCTTTTTAGAGGTTGATTCGTACATCTATAGGGTGTTGAGGATCGTCTTCAGCTGCTTTTCCTCTCGGCGTGTTGGCATAAACTCCGCCAGCTCCTCTTCAATGTCATCACTGATGAACTCCTTCAGCTCAAAGTATCTGTTCACCATGGCAAACGTCGATGACCAGCGAGTGTCCTGCTTAGGGACTGGTCGAAGAAGTGTTTTTCGCCTAGCATAATAAATTATTTTATCAGATATCAGAAAACTAAAATTAGTTGAATTAACCCACCGTAACTTTGCGGACACCAACAGCGAATTTTTCACCTTGTACATCAATTTCTGAATCTTAGTGATCAGCTCATCGTCGCCAGAGAGGAGCAAGTTTACCGCCAGGCTCAGACGATGGCTGGCACAGACCACCATCGAAACCTGCAGCAGATCGGCAACAGCACCGTTCACGGAGCAATTATCTCCGACAATGTAGACAATATTGGCTTTGCTTCGGCCATAGTAAGAGAGAATTGTGTCCAGAAACTTAACGTGACTGCGGGCTGTGTGGTCGCTGACCTCATCGTCGACAAGTGGCGCCATTGCGACCAAAATGTTCTGCACTTTTCCATCGTGGCGAAAGGATGCAAAGACTGCGACGTAATGCTCTAAACGGAAGGTCCACCCGTCAAAAATGATGTCAAACGACTTTGGCAGAATACCAGCGATCACAGTTTCAACTTCACGGACTAGTAGGCACATGTATTTCACGAGGCTGTCCGTCGAAAGGCTTCCAATCCTTACGTAGTTAGATGCCGCGTCTGTCTCACAGAACGAGAAGGGCAGATTGCACGAGAGCACAACGTCAATCCAAGAGAAGGCTTTGTGAGTCTTGTCATCGACGAACCCAACTAACGTTTCCGTATTTGAGCTGGCGCTTGTCATGTCCGCAACAAAGTTTGTGTGCCACATGAAGACGTGGCCAAGTAGGTTTGTGTAGCCAGTGTTAGGCTTCATTCGGCGCTGGACACCACAGCGACACTTGTATACTGCAGTAGGCTCTTCATCATCGTCGAGTACAGCCGTGAAATAGAAAGATGACACTTGCTTCGACGTGAACGGGTGCGTGCGGACCATCTTCTTCGACGTCTTGGCCTTCTTGGCTTTCTTTGGCGCTCTGGGCGGGGCGGAAGCTGCCTTTCGACGCGGCTTTGGAACGCTCCACGGGGTCTTCGCAGGCATCGTATTGAGTAGAGTAGACAATGGGCTGTGAGTGTATTGCTCCAGCTAAGAAATGCTAAATTGTTGGAGGATGATGCGCCATAAATCGATGAACGTGCTCCATTCGAAGAAGTGATTGTGAACCGGTCTCAGGAGACCGGTTCGCAATAGGGTTATCGGTGACACAGAGCACAAAACAAATATTGCAGCCCTTCTAAGCAAATCTAAAAATAAATAATTTATTGATTAAAATACAAAAGTATTTAATAAAAATAGTATTTTCGGAACCCCTGAGTAGGCCCTGTCCAAAATGGTCTCCGGTTTCGGCAGGAGGCGTGGACTCATCTTTGCTCAGCGTCACATTGCAAGCAGTCACGACGACTTTGCACCATCATGCACGAGCGGGGGCGTTTTCTACACTGTTGGTAGCAAGATGGAGCACTTCACCATTGGCGCACCGAGGAGTCCACTTAAAGAATTATGCGGTCGAGCGATGAAGAGTCCATCCCGCGAAAGGACGAGGACGACTACTCTGAAACTACGACTCCAGTGCCGTTGACAGCGTTAGACGAGCAACTGGGCGCGGAAAACTTTAGTGGAGACATTGGCGTCAAAGGAGAACTCTACATCAGCGTCGACAAAGACGAATACCGAGCAGGCGACGTGGTCACGGGGCGCATTACGGTGCTTGTAAGCGAGCCACTCGAATGTGGAGGTGCGCTGTTATCCTGTATATGTTTAAAACAGATATATGAATGAGAATACTAACTTGATGCTGGTGCAGCATTGGTATGCAGTATTGTTGGCGAGGAGATCGCGCAGTGGAAAGAAGGCAAGGACCATCACTCCCGCTTCCACCAGATCCTTCGTCATGAGGTAAGGAGCTCATTGTCGTCTTATCCTGTTTTTTTTTTATTCTCGCTGCTTATCGTGCCTTTTGTAGATCCTGAACACACCCTTACCGGTTCCGTACGAGATCGGTGAGTATCTTTATCCGTTCACATACACGTTACCAGCAGGTTTACCTGGCTTACTAAGCGTGCAGTCACTGGATGGAGACGTGTCTGCATTGCACGCTACCATCAAGTACACCGTGACGGCAACTATCAAAGTGCAAGGTCGCTTCGTCTCGGACATCGAAGCAAGTACCGACATCGTCATGCGTTCCAATAGTCCGTCTCACATTGAAGCCCACTCAGTCGAGCGTACTGTGTCCAAGGCGCTCCGCTGGTTTGGCTGTCTGAGTCGAGGCACGTCCCATCTCGCCATGTCCATACCACGAGATGTCTTCATCCTCGGGGAGAGTCCCGTTGTCGAGTGTTTCGTGAACAACCACACAGCGTCTATCGGTGTGCAACAAGTCACAGTTCAACTCGTTCAGAAGGTGACTGTTCGACATCCCGATGGAAACGAAGACGTCTGTGCACGGCCAGTCGCTGAGGCCAAGTGCCACGGTCCAAAGCATGGCGATATGCTCGAATGTCCTGTACAGCTTAACCTGAATGATCAGGTTAACTATCCCACGACGACCGGGAGCTTCTTAAGCTGCACATACATGATAGCGCTAGTGTGTGAGTACTCCACGTTTATTAACCCCGTCAGCGTCGAGCTTCCCGTCACTATCCTGCCACCAGCACGGACACCCAGTGCTGGATTAACACTAACAGACCTGGCAGCGTCGATGATGTCGACTGCTTCTGAGGCTCACGGACCCATCACGATGCTCGAATGAAGCACAGACGACTATACGCGTTTCAGTAGCAAGTTAGAACACCACAGCATCATGGATTACAACTACCTCAGCATCAGATAAAGCGAAACGATATCTATTCGGCAGTCCACACCTGCTCGCTGGTCACAGAGTCGTGTCTGCGGTTATTTAAATCGACGAACTCTGCAGCTTGCGCGACAATTGCGCGATGTCGCTGTTGATCTGGCCAGCGCTGCCTTCGATCCACTGGAGAGAGTTGTGGTGCACGTTGAGCACCTTCATGATCTGCACCATGGGGTTGTTGTCGTCTGCCACGTCGTCCTGAGCCTTGTTCAGCTTCTCTACCGTCTCCTTCAGCGTCGTCGTCATCGAGTTCAGCTGGTCGTCGATATCCACCGACAACTGCAAGGTCTGCTCGCGCTCAATGTCGGCGGCCACGGGCATCTGGTCCTGAGATTCGTACATCTTGTCCACGCTCTTCTCCAATTGCTGCAGCGATGTCGACAGTCACAATGATAAGATTCGCGGTTCAATTCACAGCCATCTTCGTACCTCAAGCGTGGACTTCAGCTCCATCTGGTAGGCGAAGATCGTGTCCAAGTTCGAGTCTAGCTCGTTCTGAGCCACCTGAATACGTCGCACGTCTCCGGCAATATCGCCAAGCTTGCGTTGACTGTCCATCAGATCGCTGTCCCACTTGCTCACTGTAACAGCCCATCAATTCGTTAACTACAGCACAACAGTATAGGTCGTGGAACACTAGAATGTCGTACCTTTGACAGCTTCAGTGGTGAATGTGTCCGCATTGCGCTCGAGCTGCTCGCTCCACGCGTTAATGATATCCTGCACAATCGACAAAGTTAAGAGAACGATATGTAAGAGCACTGCAGCAGTACACTAATAGTCGCAGTCGCACCTCAATCGTTCGACCCATGTACTCAGCTGGAGGTTTGTCCGTCTCGGTGACTGGAGCTGTGATGGCCGTGGAGGTCGCAGTCGAAGTGGCTGTCGGAGTCGACCCCGTAGCACTCGAGGCTGCTGTCGACGTTCCGAATGCTACTGTCGGTGGCGTCGTCTCTGTCTTGCTCTCTGCGGCGGTAGAAGTCGTCGGCTTCGCACCACCAAAGCTGAATCCTCCCGTCGACGTAGTGGTAGTGCTTGTAGTAGCATTGGAAGCAGCCGAGCTGGCACCAAACGAGAAACCAGTAGCTGGCTTAGCCTCCGCAGGTTTCGCACCAAAGCTGAAGCCTGACGAAGCGGGTGCTGCTGGCTTGGCATCTGCTGTAGAAGACGGAGCACCGAAGCTAAAGCCCGAAGAAGCCGGGGCTGTCGTCTTAGCCTCCGCTGTTGTCGAAGACGTAGTTGATCCGAAGCTGAAGCCACTCGAAGCTGCCGGCTTAGCCTCCGCTGCGGGCGCCTTGGCACCAAAGCTGGAAGTGGCAGTGGATCCAGCTGTAGACGACGGGGCCGTTGACCCGAAGCTGAAACCTGTCGACGGATCAGACGCGGCGCTGCTCTTGGACTCTGCAGGCGCTGCAGGCGTCGAGGACGTTGCTCCGAAGTTGAAGCCGCTGCTGGTACTGGAAGCGGCCGTGGGCTTGGCGCCGAAGCTGAACCCCGAGGACGGCGCTGTGGACGTGGCCGGGGCGCTAGAGGCTGCGCCGAAAGAGAAGCCACCAGTACTGGAGGATGTAGAGGGTGCCGGAGCGGCGGAGCTGGCGCCGAAGTTGAAGCCACCCGAAGGAGCCGCGGAAGACGCACCGAAGTTGAACGACATCGCTTCCTGTGGTCGATGGTGGGGGCGAGTGAAGCAGTTTTTGGCAAATGTTGTACTGTGCTGACCAATCATCGACAATGTTTGTAAAATTAGGCATTAAAATGTTTGAAAAGGCTTCGTGTGTAAATGGCGAAATTGTCAAGTCTTATTTTGAATAACTTAAATAAGTACGCAAAAAGTAATATGCGCATCGAATTTTTTTCTCAGTGTCACTTTATCCCGCACGCAAGACGTCAAGTGAAGACGTACCTACATTATGGACGGGAACGTCGGGATTGACGTGAATGGCAGTAAGTGATCAAGGAGTCCGTAGTGGTGGTGGTCCTGCGTTGCAGAGGGCTGACAGTCCTGTGTGCTCTTGATGCAGTGGGGATGATGGACTATGGAATGGGTGCGATGCCGATGATGCCTGGTGCCGACCCCACAGGCGGCTTCATGGACCAACTGCAGGACGGTAACAAGGCCGCGATCGGTCTGGACGCCGCTGCATTTGATCTCGACCTCACAGGCAAGGCACAGAACCGGAACCGAGGCAACTACCGCTGCAGCAAGGTGGAGTTCTCAAGTGTCGGACATGTGAAGAAGAAGAAGAAGCTGATAGCTTGCTTGATTACTTTAGTGCGGTGAACCCAAGAAGGGCCACGTGTGCCCGCTGGTGCCGTCCAACTACAAGTGCAACCGCTGTGGTCTCACGAAAAAGTCGTGCTCCTGCTCTGGTAAGAGGCTTGAGGATTGAAAAGGAATGTAGAAGGATGGCGCTGACGATTTTTGCGGTGGGATACAGCACCGACAATGCGAACAATTGGCGTGCAGGTGGAGCTGGATGAGGATATGACCACAAGAAAATTGGATCTGAGTGTGCAGGTTGGCGGACTGCTACATTTTTGGTCGCGCATTACTACGTATTGTATGCTGACTTTGCATTTCTTGGTGTGAGCAGGGTGTCATGGAGTTCCATAAGACGATTGTGGGCTATACTACTCCCCCGAACAGCTCGTGATAAGAGACAGCTTCGTAGCTGCGATGTCTTAGCAGAACAAGCTGCTCGATTTTGTCCACAGTCTTCTTTTAGACTGTTATTTTGTGCATATCTCGCTGCTTTTATCGATATCATGTATTTTACGTCGTGTGTTCCTATACGTTTTGGACTGCCAATAGCAAAACGCTAGTGCTCTTTTTTTATGGCGTTGTCACTCTATCTCTTTATGCGTTGGCGATTCGGAGAACGTCGCTGGGAATCTGGTACCCCCGGAGCTGCACGGCAGAGGTCTTGGCACGCAGCGGATTCGACTTTGTCACCTCGTTTAAATACAGCAGTGTTACTCCGCCATGAAGCTCAATACCTCGTACAAGCACCGTCTTCAACAGCATAGTCAGGCGTGCGAGGATGCTATTCATTGTGAGCACGAACGGCATGAAGTATGTCATTGTGAACTGCACCATCAGAGCTGGAAACACACATAACTAATCAGTTTCAGCGATACCAAATAACAGGCCGACAAAGCTTCATACATACGCACCTTTGTACGCCTTCTGGGCTGCTCGAATCACTTCCGCAGTTGCCTGAGCCATCACCACCAGCTTCCGAAGCACGCCATCCGAGCTGACCTTGAGATCTGAAGCCAGTATTTTCCAAGAAATGTGGTGCGCTCCTTCTTTCAGTTCCAATTGCTTCAAGACACTTGCAGCCTCTGCAAACGTGGCCGTAAGAGTCTCCACTTTGAAATCGCGAAGACACCGCTTCACCTGCTGCAGGTTTTGGAAGAAGAAGGCGCGGCGGTGTTGACTGTGGTTCTTGTACATACATCGCTGAAACAGCGCAATCTCCTGGCTCAGAAGACGTGCCATAGTGTCCGTGGACTGCGCGTCCAGCAGCAGCTTTTGTTGCAGCTCAATCTCCTTCGCTTGCATCATACTCATCGACGGATGGTGCACTGCAATTCCCAATATTTTAGAAATGGTTTCATCGTATTGGATCGATTTCTATGGGTAAACTCAGAAAGTTAGATTAAATATATTGACTTTGTTGTCTAAGCATAAGAGCATCTGTACCGGTAGCGTTGATGCAAGTGATGAAAAAAATTAAAAATATAAGCCGGGTAACCAGTGGAGAAAAAGTGGCGAGCAAGGGGTTAGCGACGGATGCTATTCGATCCTCGGTCGTTTCCAAGCCGAGCCATCAGTACAATCCATAAGCACTGGCGCTTCAATACCGACGGCATCACTAGCACTCGGGCTTGACATGCCGTCCCATTCACTGCTCGATTCATCATCACGAGGTCGCTTAGCTCGTAGACCCCAACTCTGACGCCGCATCTCGAGCTGCCGTGGGTGTGCGAGGAAGTCAACACCGTAGAATCTTCCTCCACAGAGAATATGTTGAACTTCTTTTTTGAACTGCTCGGGGTTTCGGTGCAGCTGTTCCGCTGCCGCAGGGTTAAGAACGTAGTCGATGCCAGGCTCCAGAAATATCAACTGTGAACATGACAATAGTCATACCGAAGAAGAGAGTTAGATACAGCAGCATTTTTCTCGCAGTCAAAACGCTAGAGCGCTTATTACCTGTAAGCCAAGCAAGACAGTGTTGATGCTGAGCACAGGGCGCCAGTCCTTGCCAAGAATTGGCATCATAACCTCGCCCGTCGCAATATCGATATTGGGATGCCATACTCTGCAAACAAACAGAAAACACGATAGCAACCATGGCCACATTTAATCCTGATTGTCCTCATAGCTTTTAAGTTGATGCAACTGGAAATTCGTTACCTCGTCAGACACCTCACGCTGGGAGCTGTAATTAGTCAGTATCCAAACGAAATCACAAACACCGTATTAAGTTAGTGCAACTATTCCCTTCAAATATGACGCACAATACCCAGATAGAGCGCTGTTAGCACAATAATTTACCGTGAAACGGGTAAGTCTTGGGGATATCCACGAAGAATGTAAAATCGCCGTTGGCAAACGGGCCCGACAAGTCCATGATCGAGATCGTAAATATCAATTTCAGCATATTATTCGCTCCATCAGGGAACTCCACTCGTGTCCTTGCTTGGGCGCACGTGAACTTGGCCTTGGCCAGCTAGAAGAAGAAAAGAACGAAGAGCAGCACCAAACCGTTTTAGTCAGAAAACCTCAAATGCATCGCGCAGCGTACGCACCTCGTTAACATCTTTCCGCACACGAAGAGCAGCTAAGTCCGAACGCATGTACATGCTCGGCGCGCGAGAAGGATGCGACTCTGCCAGCTTGACTGTCGGCGTCCCGTTCCGCGGTATATGCGGCTACTAGTGGGAGATCTCTTTTCTGCTAGAATCACGAGCTGTGTCTTCTGTTTTACGTGGGTGCTGACACCGAAATTGCGTATACAGTCGTCCGTGAGCTGGACTCGCACGATTACCGCTTGCTCGCTTCCTTGCACTGTGTCTAATGCACCTTTCCAAAGCGGCGTAAGAAAAAAAGAACGGATTGGTTAATTAAACTCCACTGTTTTAACCAATAAAACGGACAATGGCAAACCAGTCACCTTCCTACAAACACCTAGTCAAACGCCGGAAGACGTAGCCTATCAAGTTCCGCCCGCGATGCCGCCCAACGGGGGAGACGCAGCGGCCACCTCTGTGCGCAGCCGGCCATTACTGAACTACAAGGACTTGGGGTTGAGTACGCAGAATCGAAAGGTCCGCTTCACCTGTGTGCATGCCTCTGAGAACTTCATTGCCTGCGGGTGAGTATCCCAGTGCGGCAAAAGAGTGATTGTCACTGCAAGTACTGACTTACCGTAATCTCAATTCCGCATCCGTGGCGACAGCGGCAATAATGGCAGCGTCTATCTGTACGCAACGTCGGCGACGGGCCGTAGCGAGGGCGATCGAACGTCGGCCAAGTACCACTTGGTCAAGACGATCTCTCCGCCCAGCAAAGATCGCGTGGCAGTCACGTGTCTGAGCATCTGCCCGCTGCAAAAACGTCTTGTAGTTGGCACCATGCGCGGCGTCGTGTACGCTATACAGCTGTCAGACTACCACAAGATCGGTGAGAAGGTCGAGTTCTCGCACGACTTCCATGCAGGCTTCCCCATCACCTGCTTCTTGTGGGACAGGCGCGGCACAAGGCTCTTCTCGGCTTGCAACGCAGGTCTCGTGTGTCAAACTGTGCTCCGTGCTGGCGTTTCAGCAATCTTCGGCAGCACAGACACTGAGCTATTGCTGAAGGAAGAGACCGGCATTGTACAGGTGAAGCTCATTAGACGTGTATGCTAGGTCTTCAGAAGCACCTGACAGTTGCTCGCATTTTTGTGAACTTATTCAGCTAGATATTGCGAAAAGCGAGCGGTCTTATATTCTGATGGTGTCGTCCCAGCTGCGAGTGTTGCTGTTGAACCTTTCGGCTGGAGATGGAAGCGCTGTCCAGATCGGCACGAAGGCGCGGCAAGGATCGTATGGCGCGTGCTTCTTCACCAGTTTAAACGTCGAAGCGATTGATCCATCGAAAAAGCGGGAGATCAGAGTGTTTTCGTCACGACCAGGTCGGCGATTGTGGGTTGCTGATCCCCAATCAGGAACAGTCTCGTCCACCTTGAAATTCTCGCTGAGCAAGAACCCTACGCAGTTTCTGCGGAGTCCGGAGTGTGCAATGGAAGAAGGTATGCGTCATTAATGCTTCACAGTATCCAATTCCTTTTAATGGGTTTTATTGTTTTCAGGAATTCAACCTAGGAATTTGTCAATTAACAAGCTTGAGCGCTTCCAGTTCGTGCAAGATCCTCCCTATGCACCACGAGATGTGAAAGATGCGACCACATTGCTAGTGAGCTGGAGCGTGGGATCCAGTGTGCTGTTCTTCCTGGACCCCTTTGCAGTTGACATTGTTGAGTGGCATCTGGATTTGGGCATCATCCACGATTTAAAGGTACTTAAGTATGGCATTTATGCTGAGTGTGTTCCAATTGTAAATCTCAATTGTTGTTCATGCCGAGCAGATTATCGACGAAACTACGCTAGTTGTCCTCCATGGTGATGCCCCAAAGGTGTCTTTGATTCAGTCCTGCTCGGCAGATCAGTTCCTTCAGATTTATGGTGCCGACGACATGAAGAAAGCTGTTGAGGTGAGGCTGCATCTATCGATTCGCTCGTATACTGGCGATTATGATCTAAAACGTTTCTCTGCGTTATGTAGCTTGCAGTCGAGTTTAACCTGAATGATGCCCCCGTAGTGGAATCATTGCACGCTCAATGGCTGGCCTTTTTGGATAAAACTGGTGCAAAATCCGGAGAATACGGCGAGCTAACTGCTTCTCTTAAGGCCCTTGTGGGCAAAACAAAGGCAGTGGAAGAGGAATACAGGGTGGCAGTTGAGTCTGGCCTGCCTACTCCGACCGATTCACAGCCGTTGCAAGTCATCTTTAAGCAGCGTCCGCAGCAATCAGTGTCGGCAGCAGCTACCGCGACAAGTGATTTGTTTGCAGGTCAGAGCGACTCCACAGAAGTGACGCTGGGGACTGGCAGCGCTCTGCACAAGCCTATCGAGTACTTTGATGTGTTGGCGCCATCAGTTCAATCGTACTCCAAAAGTATTTGCGCACCTGATGGTTCCTTCATGGAAGCAAGACTGATGGATATTCCGGTGCTACCGCGGTCCAACGTCGTGCTTGCTGACGATTTCCGTGAGAATTTTATGGAGGAGGTCATGGAGGAGGTGAAACGATCCGAGCTAGTACGAATTGAGGAAGGTGCCATGAATATGAACCTCCTACCGGTACTAAAAGATGGCTCAACAGCGGCAGCCAAGGCGTTTTCAACCTTTATCCCGGGCAGCAGCATGCTTACGCACCTAATGGACGGGTCTATGATTACTGATCCATTTGGACGCTCGGACGCCTCGGGGATCTTTAACGACTTTCCTGACTTTGATGGCGACGAGCTTGTAATCGACCCGGATCCGAGAATTTTTCAGCGTCGATATACACATGGCCAGAGGCTCAAAACTGACACGAATGAGTGCTCTGTACTGCGGATAGCAATGTCAACGATTGGAGAAGCAGACGAAAGCAATCTCGACACAGAAGTGCTGCTGGAGGCGATTGCGATGGATATTTGGGACACAGATCTCAAGTACACATCCAATCTACCCATTAGTGAACAGCTGAACCTCCCGGAAAACGGTCAGGATAGTACGGAGAAGGGGAGTGCACACACTGAAAGAGTGTACAATCAAGAGCGTGGAACAACGAAAGAGAGAGTAATCCAGCCACGCGAGTCAAAACCAGCTCTGATCGAGCCTTTGAAGGTGCAGACGTCTATATCCACAGCGTCGTCGTCTGGCGCCTCCACGCCTGTCAACAAGGTCAAGCAGCGCCTTGTGCATCGCGCATCAATGTCTCCAGATGCAAGCCGGGCAGCCCAGCGTGCGATCCAGAAGCATTTTGGGGCAACACCCAATTGTGAAATTAAGCTGAAGTGTATGGTAGGCGGTCGGATTGCTGTCTCACCAGAGCTGGAGCCCACCATTCGACGTGATGTCGCCGAACTAGCTTCAGAGCTTCATGCAGCTTCAGCTACCGCCGAGAAAACAAAGCATCTCGCACGGAGACTTTGGCCAGCATCTGGAATTACACGGGTATGCGCATGTCTCACCAGTTTGTACCTGCTTCAGGGCGACATGAATCAAGTGCAGGTGACAATTAGCGCGTGGCTGAACTGCTTCGACCCTAATGCGCAGCAGGAGGGCCCAGAAGGAAACGAAGACTCTATCGAAAACAAGAGTGAGCTCAATAATGCACCTGCAGCTGCAAGTGGATTTGCCCGTGGCGAGGCTCTTTTGGATGGCGATGGCTTGCCGCTGACGAGAGGTGACTGGAACCTGGTGCGAACACTGATGTCAATTTACTTTGCGATTTGGGCTGCTGGATCAAAGTTGCATTTGCACCCTTTGAACCAGAAGGACCACCCTAATGGCGAGTTTTGTAGATTATACGAAAGCGAGATGGGGATAACGATGACATTGGAGCCGCGCTATCAATGGGGTAGTGACGACGAGACTGAGTCAGCCACATCAGAGGAAGCCGAGGCGTTCGTAGCCAAATATGGTGTGTATATCAACCCGGACCTTGCTGCAGAAGTGTGCAACCTTCGTCAGTTTACAGGTGCATTGAAGATTGTGCTGGATGAGGTCGTCTCCAGTGCCGACATGGATGAGACGTGTGGCGACATTGTGAGTTGGATCTCGGAGAAGGAGAGTGGCAAAGCTTTCTCAACGTTGAAAGAGCGGGATTCTCTGTGTCTTTTGTTGCACTTGCTGGACATCTTGTTGAAGAAATGTCCTCAGGAAACTATCGAGTTGTGTGTAAGTAAGTATCCCGTGTTGTATCCGTGGAATATCGAGCAAGCGTTGTTCGGAGTAAACCTTGATTGGGATGCAGTCGATGAAAGCAAAGATGGCATTCGTGAGATCTACAAGCCAGCGACGGTGAGCCAGACGTCGAAATACTTCCGATATCTTGTGCGACTTCTTGCAGAGAAAGGTGACGAAGCTGGTAAAGATGCACAAGTTGTTAGCAGATGCTTGGAGTTGTGCTTTGCAAGCGATGCGGTCGTAGGCGACCTGTTCGATCACGAAGAGAGGCCTAGTCGAATTGCGTGGGTTGCGGCACTTATTCGCCAACCTGATAGGTTCACGTATGACCGTTCGAAGTGCTGGAAAATGTTTGCAGAGAACAATGCATTTTCTGCTCTCATGGAGTTGACGATGTTGTCCTTACGAGACGAAAGCGATGAGACTGCGCTTGAACGAGGACTCGCTGAACTCTCGGAGTTGATGACACTTATTACGAGCAGTAACGAGCTGGTCGTGCTCGACGCAGTGTTTGAACGAGTGGCAGTTCTACCGCACAACTCGGAGGAGTGTCTCTCCAGGATCCTGGGTCAAATGCAAGCGTCTGTGTCAATCGAGAATCGCAACGAACGACTGTGCTCTGCAGTGATCCACGCACTGTTGAACTCGGTGGATCTTGGATACGGCATGCGTCTTCTTGCTCGCTTTCCAATTCTCTTCGCTGCTGCACCACTACAAACTTATCACACGATTGTGGAAACGCACGTGCTGACAGAGCGTCAGAAACATGAAATCTTGCAGATTTTAGAGATCGTGGACACCAACGTGTGGGCATCGTACAAGGAGGACGTTTCAGCTACAAGCTCGGTGTCTTTTGCTCCACAGCTTACTGCTATCCTGCAGCTTGAGATGAGTGCGCTGTTTCCGGCTATGAACCGAGAGCAATACGAGCTGTGGGAGACCAAATGCAAGCAGTATGATGAAGAGACGAAGTCACACAGACGAAGTAAGGTGGAGGAAACAGGTATCGACATCGGGTCTCTCTGCAGGCCGATTAGCCCTCCACTTGGTACGAACCGCGGTACTGGATCGCGGATGTCTTTGGTTGCAGCTCCGATGGCTTGCCGGTCGTTTGAGTATCGGAATAGTGACTGGGGTGGCGAAGTGCAGCTACATGACTCCACGTGCGGAACATGTGATCTCCCAGTGGTGATTATCAGTGACAGTACGTTCTGTGCTTAAAATTTAAGCAATATTATTGCTTAGATGTCATGCTAACTTCTTCATGCTGTGTACAGACAACACCAATCTGGACGTGATACTTCTTCCGTGTGGACATGCCTTTCACGAGAACTGCTTGGAAGAGAATTCGTGTCCAGTTTGTTTAGAAGCCAATCTGAGCACGTTGGACTGCTTTTAAAGAATAATGTCGCCATAGGTACAGGTACGACATTGTTTTGTACTGTCCGAGTGTAGATTCTATGATCCTCACGCTTTTGGTTCAATGTTCAGGTGAATTAGTTAGATGGGACGCACTTTGAAGTATATGCTGTTGCTGAATATTGTTACTGGAGTCTAGTACGTGAGTGCTAATGTTGAGGACTCGTTTGAGGCTGGTTCGACGATTTTTTCCCGCGCTTGCCCCGATTCACGATGAGACCCACCAATTTCTTTCGCATTTGGCGGTCAATCACGGTTTCCTCGTCCGCTAAGTCTCCAGCTGCCCCTGCGTTGGTGATGTCTCCAGCCTCATCGTTATTGTAAGTACCGTCGTGTCCAGAAGTATGGCCAGCACGTCGAACCGAAGAAACTTTCGGCTCCTCCCCGGGAAGCAAAAGAAATGAGGATCTGACGACGCTCGATCGTGACTTGGGACGTACACGAACATTGGCTGGTGACGCAGTGGTTGACGCCATACGCAAGATGAAATGCATTTCTGTCTCGGAGGATGCAGGAGCACGCACAGAGTTCTGGTGAACTCCAGGCTTATCGTCTGTGGTTGGAGCGCCGCCAGTGAGTACAGACCCTGATCCGGAACTGTTGGGGTTTGTCGTCGTCTCGGATCGATGCAGCTCACGCTCGGCTTTTTCGCGATTGATGACATCCAAGACGCGGTTAAGCTTCTGCTCTATGATGTGCAGTAAATCCGGCGTGGGCGTCTCTATTGCTCGACTGAGTTCGTGCTGGTCGTCGTAATCCAGAGATCCGTGCACCGTGCTGAGCTTGGTAAGACACTTCAGCATACACGCACGAAAAGCGTCCATGAGGACATTAGCGCGGTTGCACTTGTCGGCCAGCACTGCGGCTTCTTTCTCCGTCTCCTTCAGGCGATCCGATGTCTGATCCATTTCTTGGTAAATCGTACGGGAGTTGGCTGCTGCGCTTCGCAAGTGACTCAATGACTCGTTCAACTGCTTGTGGCGTTCTCGTAGCTTACGCATTCGTGCATCGCTGATCGTGTGTTCTTCTTTTAGAGCACGCAAAGTATCGTCACGTCCAACATACTTGGCGATGATCTTGTCCACTTCGTTGGTTCCAGCAGCTTCGATGATATGCTTCAACTCAGCCTCGACGCTAATCAGCTTCCGATCCGTGTCTGAAAGTTCTTCCTGAATCTCGAAAAAGTGCGTCATTTGTGCCGATGATTCGCGACGAAGACGACGTGACTCTTTCTGCTTGAGTTGGCCTAACGCGGTCTGAACATTGTTCTTGCGTGAAACTTCGCGCGCTTCAAGGATATCGGACTTCAGACGGGTTTGTTCTACAGCATGCTGCAAGTCGTCGAGTGCACGAATGTTGGCCTGTTTTTTCTCCCACCACTCTGTGTACAGCTTCTTGTGGCCACTTTCGGCTGCTGATTTCTCTTGACGTGCTGCCAACAAGCCTGTCATTGCGCTGGAGAGCTCTTGTTGAAGAGATTGCAGTGCTTTCTCCTTCGCCAGAGTCGCTTTCTTGGCGTCCAAAGCTTCTCGACTCAAACGCTGAATCATGTGGTTGTACACGCCTCGATCCTTTAATTCCTCATCTAGCTTGGACTCGTAGAGCTGTTGAAGAGTAACAAGTTGACGAGGTGAGCTTTTGAAAGAGATTCGAGAGAAGTAAGGGACATACCGATGACTTGTTCTCAATATTTGTCATTTGAGATTTGATTTGGGAATTGTCGGCCATTCGACCGTGCAGAGTCATCGTCATATTTTCGATCTCCTCTTCAAGTCTCTAAAGAACATTTCATGTGATATCGCTAGAAACGACAGCTCACAATGTCAATTGGTCTGACAGGAACGTACCTTGATCTCTAGCTCCTTGCGCCAGTTTACATTCTTAACTGTATCGTGCTCCTGCATGATTCGAAGTCGGTCAGCAACTTTTTTTCCTTGAAAATATCACTCACAATTATTCGAGTGGGAGCTTACACGACGCAGACCAGCAATCTCATCCACTTCTTTCTCAACAATTTGCGTCTCATCCCCGACCGTGATGCCAAGCGATGAGAGGTACGGCTGCACTGATGGCGCGGACACCTTCCTGCAAACACCAACAACAATGAGCTCAAGGATCTCCATCGCCAAAAACTATACTTCGAAGTATTTCACTCTTTTACATTTTGTTCAGTCCACGCCGAGGCGATAGCATCGACTCCGTTGCCTTAGCATCTGATCCCACCTTGGTATCGGTTGCATTTCCTGATAGCCAACGTTGTCGTCCGCCGAAAGTGCCTCGCGTTCTCTCCGATTGGGGTCCGTCATGAGGCGGAATCTGAATAGTAAGTTCATCTTCCTCTCTCGCGTCCATTTCTCAAAGCGTTGAGCTAACTTGCCGCAGCACTCAAGTTCGTTTTGTCAAGTTGAAGCTTCAAATAGAAGGTGAAGCCATCTTTATATGGCTACACCTGTTGAAGATGTTATTTTTTTTTATGCTAAAGGTTTATTTTTAGATAAATAGTACCGTGGCCCATCAAATTAATGCGCTGCACTAATCCTACACACATCTCCGCCCAATATTTCGGGTTTTCTTAGGAAGAGCTCTGGATGCTGTCGTCTAGTGACTGCCAGTGCGGCCATGCGCACGGCGACGAGCACGATCACGATGAGAACGAGGAGGAGGACGACCAGGTAAGTGCTTGAATGGTATCTTAAACGTAATAATCACCCCCTAATCGATGAATCAATTCAGCCGGCACTGTCTCTAGCGTATCAACTATGGCAACCATGGCGGCTAATCGTGATGGTATGTAAACACGCTGAACTCTTTTATTTTTCATATCTTATACTGAACTAACTATTACGTAGAACCCGCTGCCAGTGCTCATAGCGTCCGTAATCGCCAACACAATCTTCGTGACGGTCGGAGGAGTGTTACGTCTATTGGCACAACTCCTCACGCTTCCTGGACTGCTAGTGATACTTGTACTTGGGGTCATTCTGGTTATCCGTCGAGTTGCCTCGCTAATGGCATATCCCGGTCAATTGAAGCTTGTGATCCGAGAGGGTGAAGCCAACTTCGCTCGACTGACCAAACGGCGACTACAGATCTTCGCTGAGGCAGCTGCAGAGTTGGCTGCTGTACTGGACCCCACAGCCAGCAACAAACCCATGAGACTTCGTTTCTTACAAGTTCATCAGAATTTCACATTTGCTCTGGAAACAATTATGCTGCCGGTCATGCAGTCACTGGAAATTGTGGAACGAAGTGAACATTTAGGAATTAACGGCGTGAAGTTACTGCGAATATTACGAGAGATCCATAAGGTGAACTCGCAGAAATTAGCCGAACCGTGTTCGAAATTGTGTTCCGCGTCGGAGAAAACGTTCGAGACGCAGAGACTCAAAGCGTTTGGAGGCGAAGACAAGACGGAACCGACTCTAAAAACTACGGAGCATACGCGAATGAAGTTGTTCGGAGGGTCCTCAAAGCCAGTGCTGAAAAGATCACCGACGGTTGATTCTGCTGCGTTGGAAGCGGAGGCGGCAGCGAAGCCCAAGCCTGTGGAAATGGCTCATCCGTTGGTGACATTTGCAGTTGCTGTACGGCGCTTACAGGCTGCGATCCCACTGATCGGACGACCTCAAACTGATGCCCCAGCGGCCAGGAATTTGACTTGGATCGCGAAGGAAATATGTCGAGGATCCAGCACTGAAGTCGACCATATCGCGACGCTGGAAATGCTCCGCGCTGACATGACCGTGCGCTTTGTACGTAGTTGATCTAGTAGCATTGTGTCCTGTTAAAATCCTAACTGGTTGCGGTGTAGAAAGCGGAGCAGATGTGGATTCCAGGCTACAAAGGCCATCAGGTGGACGCTATGCTGATACCCGCTGCAACAAGTGGACGCGACGCTGTTGACCGTCCTTTTTTGTTGTCTTTACAACCCGATGGGGTGCAACCCGAACGGCGGTCTGTACGAGCTTCATCACCTTCAGATGGACTGGATCAAGTTCTACACCTCCGAGCTCGACTGCCACGTTCTAGTGTTCAATTACCGCGGATACGGACGCTGCAAAGGATCTCCCTCTCCTGCCATGCACAATCTGGATGGAATTGCTATTGTGAATTATCTCAAGAGCGAGCGTGGCTTTAAGAAAATTGCAGTCCATGGCGAATCCATCGGCGGTCTAGTGGCCACATATCTAGCTCGTAATTCTCCTCACGTGGACGCTCTTATAGCAGACCGAACGTTCAGTACAGTGCCAGCATTAGCCCAACGAATGATCGCCAAATGGGCAGGAACGGTAGTCGACCGGGTCATGCGCTGGGAGACCGACAATGTGCAGAATTATCTCGAAGTGACTTGTGCCAAGCTCTTGTGTTCGGATCCGAGCGACGAGATCATTTTAGACGGAGCTTCACTCAAGTCTGGGGTGGCCCTAAGCCTTGAATTGGGAGATAAGACGTTCAGTCTACGTCGTCAACGTGTAGCAGACGGCACGCCTACGTCGCCTGCGTTATCCACAAATGCTGCTCGGACAATTCGTAGACGATGTGGTCCTCGCAGTACTCGTCGAGTAAGTGAAGCTGCGAGTCGGCCACAACTTGGACAGCCCTTGACCGAGACGATGGCAGCTCGCTTTAGTGACGCTGTTCTGTCTGTTGGAAGACGGGCACTGGAATACACTACACGGCGTGATAGGGACGCTGGAGATCGTGAGAAAACACTCGAAGAAGGCGAGAAACCCGCGACTTCAAGCCACGTCACTATTGCCGTCCAGGAATCTCAATTACAAGATGAAAATGCTGCAGATAGCGAGCAGCATCCGATGCTTTCTACTGACCCGACAGCTCCCATTCCTATCACCACAACGGCAGCCTTTCCTGATGAATTGTTAGCAGTTGTTTGGATGCAACTCGCACGATTGGATGGATACTGCGGCCAGGTGCTTCTTCAGGCTGCAGAGAACGGAGGTTATGACAAGATCCGCGCTTGGACAGCTTCGTTATTGGCGTGGGGCGGTCGTGTAGCTCCCGAGCGGAGAAATGTGCGTTCGATTGAGCCTTTCGACCGCAACGGCATCTTTATTGTGCCGATTACGGTCGCAGAGGCTCATGTGATGCTGCAGCATCTTGTAGAGCAGTATCCGCCTCTCAAGTTCGACTACGATATCGGGTTTGTTGTTCTTATGCTCGAGTATTTAAATGACTCGTTGGAGAGACGATGGCGGCATCTGGACAGCACCAAGACCAGCGAAACCGCTGCGAAAAGTGAAGCTGCTCCGAGTGACAAGTGCAGCAAGAGCGCTGATAAATCGACTGAGCGCGAGGCTGTTCCGTTGGTGATCAACACAGGTGATCCCAAACTAGGCTGCCTGTTGCCTCTGCATTGCGGCCACAATAAAAACTTCGACGAAACAGAGAAGCAGGCACTGATATGCTTCCTCCGTCATGTAGGCTTCGTGGGACCAGCCAAATAGATACAAATAAATGCACAAAAGAAGTGGTGGAGCTTTTTTTAGTGAAATGAACGTGTGGCTCTAGCGAGCAAAGCAAGAGATTCACTTGTTTTTCGAGTGAGGAAAGGTCTACGTGCTGTTGCTGAGGAGAGAGTACGTACTACTGTACTGCCTTTGGCCTTACTGTGAGCACAAAACCACAATTCCCCGTTTCACTGTACATACACGCCTGAAGGTCATGAGGGACAGTGTCGCCATTGACAAAACGACAATAAACGATGTAAGTTATGTAATGTAATGTATTACGTTTATCGCGAGCCTACATACTCCGTGCTAGACTAACGATGTAAGTACATGTATTAAAAATATGGTAGAGCACCAGACACAGAACTTTTAAATTAAAACGTTCGTACAGTTCAGTACAGCTCTTTACATAAATCTAAACCTGTTTTCATTTTTTAAGGCTCTTGGCAGTTAAAAAATACCGAAGGACGGTGTCTTGAATCGACAATTAAAATAGTTGGGATCTTCAAGCAAACACTTCCTTTTTTACGTGACATCTCGTTAAAGATCACCTTTGACTACATCACGTCAAAAGTATTCGCATTTTGTATTTATGCTCGAGAGCTGATTATATACTCTAGTTTTCCAATGTCCCTTCATTTTTTCATATGGCTAGATGCGCGCACGTGAACACTGTTCAGAACAGTGGGTATGTAGTTTATAAAATTTTACACCTGGCGACTACCTCTCAAAAATGATTATCACGGCATTGTATCAACAATACACCTCTAGTAATTTTGAAATCTAAGAAATGAGAACAATTCTGGTTGGGACGGAAAAATGTGTTCGAGCGGCAAATAATATCATGGTCTGGATGCGCTAGAGCAACGAATGTGAGTCAACGACAGAGTAGAGTGATGTCTTACAATGAACTTACAGAAAATAAAAAAAGAAATGGTTGAAAGCAACGAAATTAAATTGGTCTGCAAATCACCACATGTAAAATTAGAATGACACATGGGCAGTGACGCATGAATTGATTAATGAATACAGTTTTTTTTTGCGGCTTAATCATGAGGGAAGGCGATGCTTTGTCCAATGGCGTTCCTAAGCTACCGGTATGTTATACGCCGGTATGCTCGTAAACAACGTTTGCTTGCCACAGCATCAACGCGTCGACGCATTCCCAACAACAAGCACCGATTTCCATCTCCATTTTCGAATTCCCCTTCGCCTGCAATAGCTAATCCGACTCCTACTTCTTCATCCACATGCTTCAGTTCTTCGCTACCCTTGCGATCGGCATCGCAGTTGCGTTCGGTGCTCCTGTCCCGGATGGCACTTGGCCTACTAGTCAAGGCAATGTCAGCTACACTGAAGTCTACGTCGTGAAAGCGGGTGAAGTGTTTGACGGTGGCATGAAAACCTACGACCGCTCGGACATCACCTGCCTCGGACAGACCGAGAGCAACGGATCATCGAATGCTGTCTTCGAGGTCGAACCCAGTGCCACGCTCAAGAACGTTATCATCGGCACGAATCAAATGGAGGGCGTCCACTGTGAGATGTCGGACTGCACGATCGAGAACGTGTGGTGGGAGGACGTGTGCGAGGATGCCCTGAGCATCAAGGGTGGAAATGCTTCCAGTGTCTCCAGGGTCATCGGTGGTGGGGCTCGTTACGCGGACGACAAAGTAGTCCAGCACAACGGATACGGTACCGTTGTTATCGATGGTTTCTTTGCGCAAGATTTCGGTAAGCTGTACCGTTCATGCGGTAACTGCAAGAGCAATCCTCGTCAGCGCTTCCTCAACTTGACCAATATTTACGCGGACCTGGAGATCATCTAGGCCCAGCGTGTCGACCCGAACGTGAGTTTTGTCATGATGAATGAGAACTTCGGCGATCAAGCTGTTTTGCGCAACATTTATGTGAAGCCAAGCACGGAGAACTACACCGAGTGCGCCTCATCATTTGGTGTGAACAAGAGCGGAGCCCGACCGGTTATTCTAAGCAATGGCCTCAAGAATCCGGTCTGTCAGTACTCCTTTGACGACGTTCACATTGTCCAAGACGGACAGAACACCCAACAGCAGCAGCAGCACCAGCTACAACAGTAGATGATGCCGTTGGCTGAGTGGAGGAGGTTGAAAACTACATGGAACTTGTGCCGTAAGTGCTCGTGCTATTGTTTGTCAATCTTGAATTATCTCGCTGGCTCAACAGTGGCATGTCCTGCATGTACTACATGCGTAAATACAAATAGGAAGCACAAACTTGTAGTCTGAGCCTTGCATCTAGTGCTCATGTAGTTATTCATCACGAGATTAATTACTTTTAGATGATTCAGCGTCTCTAGAATTAGGGCTTTTCTTCTTCACCATCTTCAACGACATGCGAGGCTCGCATTGCGAGCGACATTTGGGATCTGCTGTATTTTCTAAAGCCCGATCGGCAACTTATTTATAACATCTGGAGTTGTCCTACCCAATTTATTCGATCTGCCATATCAAATGATCCGCATGTTATCCTTTAAATCGACCCTTTTTTGCCGTTTTGAGTAGTATCTCGACCAGATACGGATAAATCGACCCTTTTTTGCCGTTTTGAGTAGTATCTCGACCAGATACGGAGATAGCTATCTGAGATACCGAGGGGGGTATCTCACGGGGGTGACCGCGTCTGATACAAGAATCGTAATATTTCAGACGCCTGCGACCCCACTTATATACGGACTGAGAGGTCACGACACGGCTATATCTTCTTGACAGTATCGTGCATTCCATTGTAATATTTGCGTGCTGGAAAGATTGTAGCGCAAGAACATGTACTAAAGTATAAAAACTACAACATACATTCGTGATGATTATTGCGCTTGCAAGCTCGCTAGTGTCGAGAAAATTTTGGCTCGCGAAGCCGAAGCCTTCTTTACGTTGGATGTGCTTGTCGTCAGCGACGGCATGTGCTCGAGAAGCGATTCTGGACGATGCTTGATAATAAACTTCATTACGGCATGCATGTAGTGGAGTGCGTACACTGCACAGTCGACAACGTTAGCCTGACGAGGCTTCGTGACGTAGTTGTACGTGGTTGTTACAGTAGTGCCGCTGGTATCAGATGCTATGGCCTTAACTAGAAACCATTCGATCACAGCAAAAATATAGTCTGGTTCATGACCACCCCGCAATGAATTCACGTGGTATATGAGGGTGCTTTCGCTGGAAAGAGGGCGCTCAACTACCACAAAGCTCCAGTGGTCGCCCATCACAGCCGGAAGGATCACGTATGTGTGCGAAATTCAATTAGCTTGCCGGGTTATTTCATCAGCACTCCGTTCTGTAGCCATTCGACCAATATACGCGAAATTAATCTCCGAAAAAATTGCTGACGTGCCCGAATACACAAGCCTATCTTTTTCAAAATACGCTGCAATGCAAAAGTCGGCAGCCGCATTTGTTACCATGTTGCCTTCCTTTAAGCTCTCCAAATCATCCGCAAATAGCGGAATTGCGACAGGAGCAGGGTCAACCACCCCCGCTAAGCGCGCTTCCGACGTGTTAAGGGATTGGTTTGCGTGGCCAGAGCCAGAGAGCCGCACCATGGGTATATTTTGGTCTGTCCGCGGCCGAAGTTCATAATTGCCGACGAATTGCTCGGCGCTGCGTGAGGAACCGCGAGACCCATGAACTCTGCGCACTGTCTGTTTTAAGAGCAAACTGCTCTATTCTGCTACAGTAGTCAAATACATCTTCCCTCTTCACCTTTCCATCTTCGCGAGCGCAGGTATCACAATACTCAATAACTGCCCATTCGTACGTTTCCATCCTGTGCTTACGCCCGCCTCCCTTTTCGCGCTTGGCGTCCCCAGGCTCATAAGTATCGAGTTTATGCCAATATGTTTTCTTCCATGATAGAAGCGTCGGCTTCAGCACGTTTAGCTCCTTAGCGGCTTTGCCTGCGCTCCAATCGGAGTGATCTCGCCACGTTTTAAGTTTTGCTATCCGCTCTCGAACGGGAGTCTCAGTACGCGCCATCGCGGATCACTGCTTGGGAATTGATTTTGCCTAAACGAGAGTGAGAACAATGAGTGGTCACACCAATCTGAACGGATATGCAGAATAGATTGACCGGTCAGTTTATTTTAATATACGTTTATTCAGAATAGACTGACCGATCAATTTATTTAGAATAGTCAGACCAGTCAGTCTGTTTTAGTCTTGTCGAAGTTCAAAATAGTCTGACTGGTCAGTCTATTCTGACTATATTGATTAGCAGAATAGACTGACCTTTCAGACTATTCAGAATAGTCTGACCCGTCAGTCTATTCTGAATATATCGGTTGCTAGAATAGACTGACGGGTCAATCAGTTCAAAACAGTCTGATCTGTTGTTTTACGCACGCTCTAAATAAATTGATCAGTCAGTTTATTATCAACAGCACCATTTTCACATTAAACTGACCGGTCAATCTTTTTTATTTGTGTTCAGAACAGATTGAACAGTCGATGTCTAAGTCACGTACCATTACAACTGAATTGTGTAGGTATCTAGCTTCCTGCTGAATGCGTTAAGGGACAAATTGTCACCCTTCCGCGCCAACTCAAGTTTTTCCGCGGCCTGGTTTGGAGAAATGTTATGCGTAGCAGCTGTCTTTGTGATGGCATCATAGTATTTTTTGCGCCGGAGATAGAAGCGAGCTTCTGTCGGGTCTTTCCGCCATTTAGACCCGAGCTTCTCATTTGCCTCCGAAATTGACATGTTTCCTGCAAGCCCCACAGAGTACTCTTTCCACAAGTCCACAACCGTCGAGATTGATCTGCTCAGCTTTGGATTACGAGGTTGAAGTGACTGCGGAATTGCACATGATGTAAAGGGCGGCTGCGTTACTGCTGACTGCAGCGGATCATGACCTGAGGTGCTGTCTTCCCAGCTGAGTACAAGCCGTTTGTTTGAGAGAGCCTTTAGTGTATCTATCCCCGCTGCTAGCGCATCCTGCTTGCCGTGTAGAGATTCCATTCCGTTCTTCAGCACGTCCGCAATTTGAGGCACTACAACTGCAAGCGATTTTGTTTCAGGCTGTGTAATCGCTGGTATCAACGAATAGAGTTCCTGATCAAAGGATGCGTACTCTGCAGTGGAAAACAAACTGTGCTTCCACAATTGATGATTGGGATACTGCCGCCGCAGCCCTACATGGGTCTTGGAGAAAGACCACTCGCATGTGACGGAGCATTTGAATG